TGAGCTTAACATGGACTACCCCTTCTGTAGCAACTTATGGAGCCCCACTACCCTTCAGTTTTCCTATGTTCCTTTCAAGAAGACAGGAAAAATGTGGATAACTTTTTCACTGTGGGGATCTTGGTACCCCCCTCATGGAGTTGAGTCTCCTTGCAAGTTCTTTTCTGAGACCCTCTTGACTGGATTCTTTTTCAGCCTCTATTACTGTTTTTTCAGGTCCCCACTGGCCAAACAACTAAGGGTCAGTGACCCAGACTGGTGAGATGGCTCAGCTCATAAAGATGCTTGCTAATAATCCTGATGACCTGAGTTTAATGCCTGGAACTCACATGGTAAAAGAGAGAACTGACTCCCACAAATTGTCTTTTAACCTATACACACACACACACACACACACACACACACACACACACACACACACACACACTCAATCAATCAATCAATCAATTTAATGAAAAAAAAAGTACCAAAAAAAATGTCCATGACCCACCTTTCCATCTACTCTCAGCCCAGCTTTATAGCCTCTCTTTTCCAAAACCCAGGACTGACGGTCTCAAGTCCAGACTATAGTTTCTATCTGATCACCAGGAGGTTATCAGAAGTCCTCTGCAGGGGAAGGACTCCCAATGGGTTTCTGACTGATGGGGCCGAATGGCTTCTGCTGCTGTTCTAGTCAATGGTCATGACAGTTTCCATGACATCTATACACACAAGATACACAGTAAAAGTCCAGAGCTGCCCTGGGTGGTGCAGAGCTTTCAAATACAAGTTCTCTTCCAGAGTGGGAAAGACTCACTGGTTGAGAAGGACTTTTGCAAAAGCAATTTGAACAAATCATGTGGCATTAAGAACACACTCTTTAGCCAGGCAGTGGTGGCGCATGCCTTTGATCCCAGCACTTGGGAGGCAGAGGCAGGAGGATTTCAGTGAGTTTGAGGCCAGCCTGATCTATAAAGTGAGATCCAGGACAGCCAGGATTTCTACACAGAGAAGAAACCCTGTCTCGAAAAAACAACAAACAAACAAACAAGCAAAAAAGAACACATACTTTGATAAAAACAACATACTCTTAGGAATCTAATATGTAGAAAAAGCATCTAGAAGAAAAGGTCCTTGGAAAACAATGTGCCTGTACACACTGCAGCCATGTTTGTAGAGAGGAAAGCTCTAGAAGACTCTTGTGGATACCTGGCACATTACCAGAATACCCAGGACAGTTTTACAACAGCTTGCCCCAGCAGCAGTGAAGCTCATAATTGTCAAGAAAAGCAAGCTGCAGTGTACACTAAACTTATTTCTGTAAACAGAAACAACAAAATAAGAGGCTGTAGATATGGCTCAGTTTTCTGCTTCCTTACCGTGCAGAAAACTCTGAGTCTGCTCTCCAATGGATAAATAGAGTATGGTGGTATGCATCTATAATCTATAATCTATAATTCCAGCACTAGGGAAGCAGAAGTGGGGCTATTAAAAGTTCAAGGTTATCTTTAGCTACATAGCAAGATCTGGACCAGTCTGGGATACATGAAATTCTATCAAAAGAGAAAAGGGGTTGGGGCAGGGTTTGTATGTAAACATGTTTGTAGGCAAATAGAGAAAAGTGTGAAAGGACAGACCAGGTAACTAACTCAGGATTTCAAGGAGAGGGGTAGAAAGAGCACTCCTGTCTCACTGGCTGAATTAGAATGTTAAATTTTGATTAAAAATAATAAAATTCACTTTATATAAAACCCTGGATATTTCCATAGTAGAATAACTAAAGCCTCTGCTTTGAGATTCCCAAGCCAGAATTGAGACTGTCCCCGACCATACAATAACCCTTCAAATTGTATCTGGGAATCCAGAGACCAACTTGGGATCATTACCTTGGCTTGAACCCCATGGAGACTGTTCACTCTCACAGTCTGTAGAAAGGGTGCAAATTGCACCTTGCCAAGAAAGAGGTGGTGAGCCCAGGGAACTCTAACCATATCTGCTCCCACCCTGAGATCTGTGGGAAGCAGCATGGCCATTCTCCTCACCACTGTCAAGGCTCTGACACTAGTCCATTCCCACTGACCCACTCCCTTGGGTCAGGTATAGGGGGTGCCAACAGCAGTACTGGGCAAGGATTAGTATATCTTCCCTTCAGGCTCTGATGGGGTTTAGGCTCTCATTTCTTTCCTTTTCATGTACAAGATATGTCGCCCAAAAGGTGTGTCCTGTGTGTGGTTACAGGCTTTTACTGTGACTGAAGGTTCAGAAGGGATAATTTGTGGCTTTATCACACTTGGATGGGTGTTAGAGCTCACTGGGGAGGGACAGCTCACCAGGTCCTTCATCCTGGGCCAGGCAGAGACAATGGAGCAGCTCTTCAAAGAGCCAGGAAGGAGAGGGCTCCCCACCCACCCCACTGTCCTTCAGAGCGATGGGTAATTAATTCTCTGTGACTCCAGATGTTCAGCAGCTGTCTTGACCATTTCCGCCACTTTTCTTGACCCCTTATCCGCCAGGAAGAGTCCCCTCCTGTCCTTGGGCTCCAAATCACCCCCACCTTCCCTGCACCCCATTTCCTGAGCAGAGGCGTTTGTACAAACTCAGCTTCTTTTCCTGAAGGCAGCTTCAGCTTTCCCAAAGCCAGGCTGCTGCCAGTGGTCAGCTAGTGCTGAGCTAAATACCCTCTTCCAAGGGGCTCTGATCCTGGCTCCAGCCCTTCTGGCCTCTGGGACTGGTTTTCTCTCTTTCCTTTCCTTCTCCAAGGTTAGCTTTTCAGACTCAACAGCATAAATCAAGAGCCTCTAGGGAGGTGAACAGAACTGGCCAGAGAGGAAGCACTGCCTCAGTGGGGGAAGGGGGACATCCTGGATTATCAGGACCCAGTGGGGGTGGGGGATAGGGGTATGGTGCATACTCAGATGTCTCCTTGGAAGGAATGGGTGGCAAGGATTCTTCCACAAACTGATAAGCAGGGACACAGAGTTCCACCTCCCATCCCCCACCCTGTTACACTGCTTTAAACAGAGAGGGCTGAAGGCAAAAGGATCCTGCTTGCTGCTGCTGCTGCTGCTGTTGGTCCATGGGGGGGGGGGGGGGGGTTCTTCAGTAGAAGACAGCTTCATTCTTGTCACAAGCTTTCCTCTCTGAGCAGAGCTGATGGTTCTGGGGCAATTGGGCTCCTGTGGACTGGTGGGGTCAAGGACCAGGACACACACACACACACACACACACACACACACTAAGGCCGGAACCCCTTGGGACTAGTGGCTCCAGTCCACTGACCTCTGCCTCTCAAAATCTGGTCTCTGGTTCTCCCTATCTCTTTCTTCTCTTTACAGGGGCAAGCTAAGGGCATTTGGGCTTGGCTGAAGAATACCCTGTTTCTAAAAGTCTCAGAGCAGATCAAGCTGGGAGATTGCCTCCAGGAATAAACAAAAGGCAGTGTTTCCATGTACCATGCAGACAGTCTTTCAGGACATTGCCAATGCCATGCAGGCTACTCTATCTTCAGAGTCTGCACCTTCCAAATCCTCAAAGAATTTTCTTCACCAGTTGCTTGTAACTGGGCTGAAGAGGCAGGGACATTCTTTCTTTCTTCTGCAACGGAAGTCACTACTCTATCTCACACAAAATAAACCTGATGCTTTGGTCCTCAAGGCAGGTAACATCAGTTTATGAGAAGTTTCTAGAGAGTGAATATCCCACCCTCCCTAAAGTTTCCACCTTCATCCCCAACCTTCTTTCTTTCCCTACAGAGCTAGACACTTCAGGAGTATAAGAACCACAGATATCTTTAGGGCACTGTCAATCCCTTGACCAAAGGTGAGGAGATTGAAGAAACTTAAGATACACCTTAGTCCTCAGACCTGACCACTGAGCAGAGAAGCCTAACTGGTACAAAAACTGGACAGTCAGGAGAATCTGGGACTTGGAGCTGGATGCATATGCATCTGGGGCAGAATTGCCAGATTTAGAAAAACAAACCTGAAAACAGGACATGGCATTAAAATGAACTTCAGAACCTTGTGATTGTGGCACATGCCTTTAATCCCAGCACTCAGAGGCAGGCGAATTTCTGAGTTTGAGGGTGGTCTGGTTTATAGAGTCAGTTCCAGGACAGCCAAGGCTACATAGAGAAACTCTGTTTTGAAAAACAAAACAATAAAACAAAACAAAAAAGAACTTCAGATAACTTTAAAACACGGGCATCTTTTGATTTTACATGCTGATAGATACACCATAAGTTCTAAGTATTCTTTTTCTGTTTTCTTTTTTTGAGGGGAGTGATGGCAAGGGTCTCCCTGTATGTTCCTGGCTGGCCTGGAACTTTCAGCAATATTGTCTCAGTCTCCTAAGTCCTGGGACACAGGTGAGCACCACTGTGTGAATTAGAGGCCAGGTCTCAGACTGCCAAAGACTATGTAGTGAGACCTTGTTTAAAAAAAATAATAATGGTAGCTACAGAGATGGCTCAGCAGATAAGAGCATTTTTTCCTCTTGCAGAGGATTCATCATCTACATGGTGGCTGATAACCATCTGTAACTCCAGTTCCAGGGGATCCAATGCCCTCTTCTGACCTCTTTAGGTATCAGGCATGAACATGGTATATGTACATACACACAGGTAAAACATTCATATTAAATAAATAAAATAATTTTTTTTTTGTTTTTTGAGACAAGGTTTCTCGGTGTAGCTTTGGAGCCTGTTCTGGAACTCACTCTGTAGACCAGGCTGGCCTTGAAACTCACAGAGATCCACCTGCCTCTGCCTCCTGAGTGCTGGGATTAAAGGCATGCGCCACTACTGCCTGGCTAAAACAAAAAGTTTTATTAAAAAATAATGTACTTAAGGGCTGATATGAAGACTCATAAGGTACAGGTGCTTGCTGCCAAATTCGACAATCTGAGTTCAATCCCTCGAACCTATGTGGTAGAAGGGCACCAGCTTCCATAAGCTGTCTTCTGACCTCCACACATACACACACACAATAAATCAATTTAATAAAAATATGTTTAATACATCTAACATGCTGAGCACCACAGCATAGTCCAGCCTATTAAATATACTCGGAATACTCATATGAGCCAATAGCTGGGCAAAATCATTGAACAGAAAAATCATTTTTTTACAACGAAGTGTTGACTACCTCATGTATTTTAGCAAATACTGTGCTTAAAGTGAAAACAGGTTTGTAAAGCTATGCTTCTGTACCACTGTAAAGTCTTGGGGACCACAATTAGAACCCTAGCACTCATACCTGAGACAGAATTGTGAGCTTGAAGCTAGTTTGAATCATAAGGTGAGACTCTGTCTCAAATATACACACAAACACAGACAGGCCCATACCCACAGAGAGAGACACACAGTTTTGTTGTTTAAGTTCAACTTTAAGTGGATATTAGGCATTTTATCTGTGTTTGGGATAGGGGTGGGAAATAGCTTTTCAAAATCATGAATTCTGTTGACAGTCCTACTCCTCTGTACCCTCTATGAACAACAGTATTCCTCAGCTGAATCCAAAATCTGTGGAGTGGTCTGAACAGCCAGTGTCTTAATTGGAAAGTGTAACAGGAAGAGCAGAAAGTGGTTGCTGTGGCCTGAAAACCACCATCCTTAAAAGCCTGAAGTCTCTAAAGTAGTCCTGGCCCTTGGGCTCCGGGGATCTGAATTTCCTTGCCTTTTGCATTTGTTTCAGGCTTGGACCACTGCTAAGAGTTCCTAGCACTGGAATATGCTGTTCCCCTGCTCCATCTGACCCTCAGGTGGGCTGGCCATCTTCAGTGCAGGAGAAAAAGGGGAACTCACCCACGAGAACCCTCTAGAAAAGAGGAAGGTACAGTTTGTGGGTTGGTTCAAGTGGGAGAGATATACTCAACCAGGGGTTGAAAAAGAGGAAGCACAGCTAGGCAGCACCTACCTGGAGATCATGGCTGCTGTTGGCCCAGTGAAAAGAGGATTTAGAAAAGGTGTGTGTGTGTGTGTGTGTGTGTGTGTGTGTGTGTGTGTGTGTGAGTGCGTTGTGGGAAGATGTTTCTAGCCCACCCTCATCCCTCTTCCAGGGAAGGTAAGTGTGGAACTGCAGGAGTAAGGCTATGAGCAAACACACCTAACTCCAACAGCAGTTCTGTTCTAACCTAGATTTTTGCAGGGAAATGTAAACTAGTGAACCTCAAGGTCAAAGGAGGGTCTAAGAGTGTGTTACCCACAACAAGTTTGGCCCAGGTGTGGGAAATCCCCTTTGCCTAATTCTCTCTTCCTCTCAAAAGGAAGAAGTCAAGGCTGTTCTTCTAGCCTCTTTGGTTGCCTATCTTCAGTGGAGGAGGTAGAAGAAGCTCAAGGTGCTAGAAACATGGTAGGAAGCTGCTGTGAGGTCCTAAGGTACTGTCCTAGGGTGTGGGACAGAACTTGAGATATACCAAGCCTTAGAACCCTTTGTGAGCCCGTTACCCTAGTGTCACTTCTCCCAGCAACAATGACTCACAAAACTGAGACTGATAGATACAGCTTTCCCTTGGCCCCACAAGGCACAGGTCACAAAGGCCACTGGGGCCAACCAAGAGGAGTAATGCCATCAGAGAGCTGTGTGTGGCCCCTGACCCTGCAGCTGCCCGCTGGGCCGGGCCTGCATCTCCTGCTGCCATTCCACTACCAGGACTGGGCCTTCTGGCCTTGGGGCTAGCAGGGAACAGCGCAGAGCTTCACTGCCCATGTGTGTCATCTGCTTTGTGAAGGCACTAGTACATGTGTTCAAGATCTACTTGACAGCAAACTACACTTACAACTTCCGCAGCTGGCCAGTGGACTTCCGCTGGGATGATGTGCATGCCTCAGGCACTGGTAGCAGCAGTCATCGTGCCTTGACATGTGCTGCAGCTGCAGCAGGTGTGTGGCTGCTACATGATGCAGCACTGGGCGGGGACGCACTCACAAGGCCTCCGCGTGGGGCTCGAAGCCAAGCACAGTGCCTCCTCCAGCAGATCCGTGAGCTGCCCAGCCAACTAGCCAGCTATGCACTGGCCCACTCACTGGGTCGCTGGCTTGTATACCCTGGCTCTATGTTCTTGATGACACGCGCGCTACTGCCTCTACTGCAGCAGGGCCAAGAGCGCCTAGTGGAGCGCTACCGTGGGCGGCGTGCCAAGCTGGTGGCTTGCGATGGCAATGAAATTGACACTATGTTCATGGATCGTCGTCAGCATCCAGGCAGCCATGGCCGTGGACTGCGCCTGGTCATATGCTGTGAAGGCAATGCTGGCTTCTACGAGATGGGCTGCCTGTCTGCACCTCTGGAGGCTGGATACTCAGTGCTAGGCTGGAACCATCCTGGTTTTGGGGGCAGCACAGGCGCACCTTTCCCTCAACATGATGCAAATGCAATGGATGTGGTGGTCAAGTATGCACTGCACCGCCTGCACTTCCCGCCAGCACATGTTGTAGTTTATGGCTGGTCTATTGGAGGCTTCACAGCTACCTGGGCCACTATGACTTACCCAGAACTGGGTGCACTGGTGCTAGATGCCACCTTTGATGATCTTGTGCCACTAGCGCTGAAGGTCATGCCCCACAGTTGGAAGGGGCTGGTGGTACGCACTGTACGGGAGCACTTCAATCTCAATGTTGCTGAGCAGCTGTGCTGCTACCCAGGCCCAGTACTGTTGCTCAGACGCACGCAAGATGATGTTGTCAGCACCTCGAGCCATATAACTACTCTGCCATCCTGTCAAGAGGAGGGTGATGTGGAAGGTAACCGCGGTAATGAGCTGCTGTTGCGTCTGCTACAGCACAGATACCCTTCTGTGATGGCCCGCGAGGGCCGCACGGTGGTAACCCGCTGGCTACGCACCAGTAACTTGGCTCAAGAAGCTGCATTCTATGCGCGCTACCGCGTGGATGATGAGTGGTGCTTGGCAATGCTGCGTTCTTATCGTGAGCGTTGCCAGAAGGAGATGGACGATGCTGAGGCCTGGGGGCCGCATGGACCTACTTTCCCCTGGCTTGTGGGCCAAGGCTTGAGCCCCCGGCGGCGCCGGCAGCTTGCATTGTTCCTAGCACGCAGGCACCTCAGGAACTTGGAGGCAACACACTGCAGCCCACTGGAGCCTGAGGACTTCCAATTGCCCTGGAAACTGTAGCTACTGTTTATGTGACTCACGAATTTGGGCAGTCATACACCTTTCAGCTCCCCCCTTTCAGCTGTTCCTCTCCTTACACTTCCACAGAAAAGCTGGCCCTATTGGGGATCGTGGTGTCTGGGAGAGTGGGCAAGTATATTTTGGACTGTACTTGCCTTCACCTTCTTTCTGCTCTTCCCGGCTTCTGTCCTTTCTCTTCCTCCCACACATCTGAATGCCTGTGCCTAGTTCTTGAAGGGAATGTAAAGGTGAAACCTGACCCAATTTATGGTAATGTGATGTCTGATCATGGGAGGCCAGGGGAGGCTGTGAGGCTATGGGAGTGCCTTTCTTTCACAAGGCTTGGACCACAGGGTAGCTCCTAAGAAGAGGACATCAATTAAACATTCAAGTAGTTCCTAGTAAAAGGAGAGTACTAGCAGGTCAGTGGTGGCAAATGCTTTTAATAGCAGCACTCAGGAGGCAGAGACAGGCAGATCTCTGTGCGTTTCAAGGCCAGCCTGATCTAAAGAATGGGTTCCAGGACAGCCGAAGCTAAACAGAGAAATTCTATTTCAAAAAAACAAAACAAAACAAAAAAAAAGAAAGAAAAGATAAAAGAAAGTACGGGGGGCTGGAGAGATGGCTCAGAGGTTAAGAGCACCGACTGCTCTTCCAGAGGTCCTGAGTTCAATTCCCAGCAACCACATGGTGGCTCACAATCATCTGTAATGAGATCTGGCGCCCTCTTCTGTATACATAATAAATAAATAAATCTTTAAAAAAAAAAAAAAAAAGAAAGTACGGAGAGTACCGATCTCAGCAGTTGCTGCTGGGCAGTACCCCCTTCACATTTCTACATTCTATGAGGGAGATCCATAGACCTCGAGTCACAGTGCACAGGGTGGCCTGGATCCTAGAGATACTAAATGATCACTTGTTACTTGGGCCAGACCTGGGCTAGGGCCGGGCTTTGCTCATGGCCCAAGAATGAAAAACAGAAGATGGGAATGGTGGTACACACCTTTAATCCCAGCACTTGGGAGGCGGGCAAGAGGATCTCTGTGAGTTTGAGGCCAGCCTGGTCTACAGAGGGAATTCCAGGGCAGCTAGGGCTGTTAATACAGAGAAACCTTGTCTCAACGCCCCCTCAAAAAACAAACAACAAAAGGCTGCAAAACAGAATGGCAAGTCTTCAGCTCACCACTCTCAGTACTGTAGTCACTACATGAAGCAGAAACTACTGGATCTTCTTGTCATTTCCAGCCCTGTGGACAGGGGCTGACCACGTTGGGTTAATCAAGATGGTAAATGGAGAAGATACATTAATGGACAGCCCTGAACAGGATACTGTCATAGTCAATGGAGCATCTAGTCCTGTGCAAGACACCTGTAGGGAGAAGGGAAGGGTAGTGGGAAGCTTCCAGGAACTTCCAGAAAGCTTCCAGTACTCATGGGGCCTGGCTGGAAGGGGAAGTTCAACTTTGTAGGAGGGGCAATTCTGAAAGAGAGGTAATATCATTTAAGGATTTTTCTTCCAAGAAAACAAGCGCCAAAAGAAACTGTGAGACTTTTTTTGGTAGACAGCTGCCCAGTAGTCACAACTCCCTCATCTGAAGTCAGGGGAACTCTTGTTCTCCTGTTAGTGTTGACACACTAACACCACAAAAACTTCAAAGCTCTGGAGTGATCTGTGAAAATTTACTTTATGCGCAGGAAGACAGTGGCACACGCCTTTAATCCCAGCACTTGGGAGGCAGAGCCAGGCAGATCTCTGTGAGTTCGAGGCCAGCTTGGTCTACATAGCGAAATCCAAGACAGGCACCAAAACTACACAGACAAACCCTGTCTCGAAAAAGACAAAAAAAAAAAGAAAAAAGAAAAAAGAAAAATCGTTTAGCCTCAGTTTGCTCATCTATAAAGTGGGAGGAGGCTCCAGTGCTGCGAAAAAGAAATTGAGAAAACACTGGGGTGCGTGCACAGGGCTGGGCTTCAGTTACTGGGATGGTCAACAGGCCCCTGCGGTGTTCAGGGCTCTGTAAACTCTTCCAGTACCACACTGCGAGCCGCCTCTGGCTGGAGAGAGCGGCGCCTGCAGGGCAAGAAGACGAATCACGTTCTCTGTATTTTTAGTGCAAGCCCCAGACAATAAAAATGTCTTCATAAAGAGGCTGCAAATACAACTTAATTCGGTAGAGAGCTTGCTTAGCATGCATTAAGTTTGGGATTCTCGATCCCCGATACGGTATAAATCGACTGTGATAGCTCACTCCTGTAATCATAGCACTAGAGAGGTGGTGAGCCCAGAGGATCGTTAAATTCAAGGTCATTCTAGTCTACATAGTCAGCAGTCTCAAAAACCAAAACCAAAATAATTTACCGGAGGCGGGGAGAGGTTGATTGGGGGCTGGAGGGTGCACAGGCCTGAGTTTGACCCGCCGCGGTGCGCGGTCGAGGAGCTCGTGGGCAGTCGAGGGTGTGATGGGGATCAGTGCACTGAGACACAAACCAAACCGTCCCTCCAGCTCCGGCTGCTCTGGCCTTTTCACCCAGGAATCTTACTGGTGGAACCAGCCTGGGGGAATTACTTCCCGCTTCGTTGTAGTTTGTAGCTATAAAATTGAACGATTAGTCTTACGTAGGGCCAGAGGACGTTCTCATTGGACACCACTTGAGCGGGGGCCGGGAAGAAGGCGGAGCACAGATCCAAGCGGAAGTAAGGCGGCGCGTCGCTGATTACGTAATACTGCTGCGGCCCGACAGTTCCACTGGCTCGCGTGTACGCGGCTGCCAGCTTCCAGTACTTGGTGCTTGGCTCCTCTAGTGCCTGCGATCCTTGCTCCGAGGCCAGCTACGGCTCAGCTGTCACCTGAATATGGACTCCGCCAGCCAAGGTACCTGCAAATGGTCAGGGGCTGCGTCGCATTCCGGTAGTCGCGACTCGGCCCCCCAGTCCTCTCAGTCTCTGCCGGTCCGATTCACGTCCTCTCTTCGGTCGACAGGCCCTTGACCTCAAGGCTACTGATGGCCGCGGTGTGTGTTCTGTTACTGCCTTGCCACGGCACCTGGGCCTCCCCTGGGATCGCTCTGAAGCGGCGTTCCTCGGCGCCCTCTCGGTTCCTAGAGTTTCATAACTCTAGACATTTCTCTTAATGCGGTTCACTATCTGTCCGCCACTTGCTGGCTCTGCGGCCCTCTATCTTTCGCTGGGCCCTTGGGAATAAATACCCCATCTGGTGCTGGACTCCAGCCTAGGCATGGTGGGCGGCTCTTTACAAGGAAGGGGCGGTGCAACCATCCTTGTATTTAGAGCGCCTCTTGGGTGGTAACGCCACTGTAACCTACTTAGGAGGTTGCCTCATGGGAGAAGGGTAGAGTGAGTCAGGGGCACACCCAGAACAGATCTGTTGCCAAAACAGACACTGGAGACCAGTATGAGGTTGCCACGGAGAAGTGTGGCTCAGGCTGAGGAGATTAAAATCTTGAGACGGTGGTACAAGTGGGAATGCTTACTTAACTACACTGCTAAACTCAAAAATCTTTTCTACGGTTTGACCTGCACCAACACATTACCTAAGCATTATAATTTCTGGGTTTTTGTTTTGAGGGGGGGCGTTGAAACAGGGTTTCTCTGTGTTTCCCTGACTGTCCTGGAACTTGCTCTGTAGACTAGACTGGCCTCAAAATCAGAGATTTCACTTGCCTCTGCCTCCCAAGTGCTGGGATTAAAGGCGAGTGTCCCCACCCCCGACCTCCCAGTAGAATTTCTGGGTTCTTACCATTCTGGACATTCTGGATGTTTTTCTACTTTGATGGATATTTGCAAATTCATTGAACTTTGAAAGTTCTCATGTAGAGTGTCCTTTCCAGGAGCCTCAGTTGGTCTAAACCTTTTCCAGGTTTGGCCTGATTTCTGCTCCTTCCAGGCAGCTGTTCTGGTCTCAAGAGTCTTCTTTGCAACCTTTCTCCTCTGAGAGTCTTCTTTGCAGCTCAGTTTCACTTGTCTCTGAGGGACTTTCAGCTTTTATTGTTGATTGTGGCAGGGAGGACCTTAGTGAATCTAATTGGTTTCAGGGATTTCCTGAAGTTATTTTGAGTGGTTTGCCTTCCTGCTTAAGGAGCTTTCCCTGCAGGATGGAATCTTTCCATTTCAGAGGAAGCTATTTACACAACAGTGATAAAGGCCTTTCTCTAGTAGCCTGGCACCACATAAAAGGAAAGGAAAGAGAGGAGAGGGGGAGAGGAAGAGAGGACAAATTTGAAGTCACTGGCATCCTCAACAGATAAGTAAACAGCCCATTTCCCAGCCAGGTTCACATAAAACTTGGTTCTTCTGTGTGCTGGCTAGTTTTTATGTCAACCGGACACAAGTTAGAGTCATGTGAGAAGAAGGAATCTTTTGGTTTTTGTTTGTTTTTCCAGACAGGGTTTCTTTGTGTATCCCTGGCTGTCCTGGAACTAGCTCTGTAACCAGACTGGCCTTGAACTCACAGAAATTCACCTGCCTCTGCCTCCTAAATGCTGGGATCAAAGGCATGTGCCACCATTGCCTGGTGGGAAGAAGAAATCTGAATTGAGAAATACATTCGTAGGATTGACCTGTAGGCAAGTCTGTAGGGCATTTTCTGGATTGATTGATGTAGGAGGACCCAGATTACTGCCATCCCTATGCAAGTGGTTCTGATAATGCCCGAAAGCAGGCTGGGCAAGCCAGTAAAAGCAGTATCTCCATAGCCTCTGCATCAGCTCCTGCCTCCAGGATCCTTCCCTGACTTCCTTTGATAATGGACTGTAATATGTAAGTAAAGTAACCCTTTCCTCCCAAAGTTGCTTTTGGTCATGGTGTTTTTGGTTTTTTTGAGACGGTTTCTCTGTGTAGTTTTGGTGCCTGTCCTGGATCTTGCTCTGTAGACCAGGCTGGCCTTGAATTTACAGAGATCCACCTGGCTCTGCTTCCCAAGTGCTGGGATTAAAGGTGTGCACCACCACTACCCGACAGTCATGGTGTTTTATCACACTAATAGAAATCCTAAATACAATACCCTGGAACAACAGAAAACACTCTCCAGCCCTATAATTGTAGAGATTTTGAGGTACTTAGTTTGAGTAGATTCAGCACAATGACTACAGATAATGAAATAAACTCTCAGTTAAAAGATCTCAGTTAAGCCGGGCAGTAGTGACACATGCCTTTAATCCCAGCACTTGGGAGGCAGAGGCAGTTCGAGGCTAGCCTGATCTACAGAGCGAGATCCAGGACAGGCACCAAAACTACACAGAGAAGAAAAAAGATCTCAGTTAAAAATTCAAGTCATGAGGAGCTGGAGAGATGGCTCAGCAGTTAAGAGCCTGACTGCTCTTCCAGAGGACTCAAGTTCAGTTCCCAGCACCCACATGGCAGCTCACAATTATATGTAACTCCAGGATATAACACCCTCACACAGACATACATACAGGTAAAAACACAAATAAAATAAAATAAAAATTCAAGTCATGAACTGGCAAGATAAAGGTGCTTGCCTGAATTTGATGCCTAGGGCCCACATGGTACCTTGTGTGCCCAGTGCCAGTGGAGGTCAGAAGAGGACATTGGACCCCTGGGAAGTGAAGTGACAGGTGTTTGTGAGCTACTGTGTGGGTGCTGGGAATTAAACTAAGGTCTTCTGGAAGAGCAGCAAGTGCACTTAGCCACTGAGCAATCTCTCTTGTCCCATAAATAAATAAAATTTCAAAAGTTACTTGCATGAAACAAACAAAACAGTTACTTTAAAAGTCAGTTACTTTAAAAAAAAAATGCAATTGGCGTGGTGGCCCACTACTTTAATCCCAGCACTAAGGAGGCAGAGGCAGGTGGATCTTTGAGGCCAGTATGGTCTACAAAATGAGTTCCAGGACAGCCAGAGCTACAGAGAAAAACCTTGTCTCAAAAGAAAACAAAAGATAAAAAAAAAAAAGTCTTTAAAAAGATGTTTCCAGCTACTGTTGAGTAGAACATCTGGTTTTTTAGTGTTTTCAATTTATATTTAGGAGATTTTAGAATTTGTTTAGTTGACAAACTTTTATGTGATTAAAGATGTTTTCCTTTCTAGTTTATGTTTTAGACCAGGCTGGCCTTGAACTCACAGAAGTCTGCCTGCCTCTCTCCCTCCTGAGTGCTAGGATTAGAGATGTGAGTCACCATGCTCATAAGAATGGCTTTCTTGTTTTTTTTTTCTTTGGTTTTTCGAGACAGGGTTTCTCTGCGTAGCTTTGTGCCTTTCCTGGATCTTTCTCTGTAGACCGGGCTGGCCTTGAACTCACAAAGATCTGCCAGGCTCTACCTCCCATGTGCTGGCATTAAAGGCGTGCGCCACCACTGCCAGGCAAGAATGGCTTTCTTTTTTTTTTTTGGTTTTTCGAGACAGGGTTTCTCTGTGTAGCTTTGCGCCTTTCCTGGGACTCACTTGGTAGCCCAGGCTGGCCTCGAACTCACAGAGATCCGCCTGGCTCTGCCTCCCGAGTGCTGGGATTAAAGGCGTGCGCCACCACCGCCCGGCTTAAGAATGGCTTTTTTTATGTGCTAAGATATTTATGCAGATAGGAAGATGTGCCTAATGTGAAGAAAAATTGGTGACTGCAGGAATTTGAAGTGGATCTAGTATTATAGGTGTGTGGAAGAATATATTTCTATCTTTGTACATATGGCAGTCTCCTGTCAGAGGTTCAGAGGATCAGGGATGGGATTAAAAGTGATTTTTGTTTTGCTGATTTCTTATTGGGGTTTGATGACTAGCATATAATCCATGTAAGTAATCTTTAGCATTCCCTGAGTTGAATGGAAAATAATGCTTGCTATATTTACTTCCTTCACTCCAAGGGGAAAAAAAAAAATTAGAAGATTTACTAGATTGGACTGCTTTCTTTGAAGCAGGGTTTCCTGCTTTAGAAGATAATATTTCAAAAGGGAGACCAGAACCTATGTTTTGGCTGCTTTAGCTAGTGTTTCTTGTATTCTAGCAGCACAGGTGGTATTGGGTTTTCATCTCAGGTACCCAAGAAGTAGCTGTTCTCCATCCAATGCCCAGATCATCATCATAGACTTTTGGAGGTATTTCTAGTTTCCAGTGTTCTCCTGCTTCTTTTGGCCACCTATTTCCTTCCATTCTTACTTCTTTCTTAGTAGAGTTACAAATTACTTGACACTTTTTGACTTCATTTTTGTCTCTGACAGATATCAACTTGAATTCTCCTAACAAAGGTGTGCTGTCTGATTTCCTGACTGATGTCCCTGTTGACCCAGGTGTGGCCCCCCGAACTCCAGCTGTAGAGGGCCTGACAGAGGTGGAGGAAGAAGAGCTTCGGGCTGAGCTTGTTAAGGTGTCTTGGTTTTATTTCCTGTTGTGGGGTAATTGTGAGTCCTTTTGGGTTATACAGAGAATAGAACACTTTATCCTGTGACAGAGCTGTTGCTGGGGTATTATCTGCCTTCTGTGTCTACTGGGTTATCTCTTTGTATGTGCCTACTTCTAAAGTGTTGACTTGAATCACCTGTTGGAAGAGGCAGGCCCTGATCTCATCTTACCACCTCTGTCTGGAAATACTAGGTG